GGGGGGGGGGGGGACCGCGCTCTTCAGCCTTGGGCTGTGCTGACCCTGGTAAGAAGGAATGCATCTAGCCACGTGGAAATTCCTGGAGCTCATCCCCGGGACCATGGCAGGGGAGCCAGAGTCCCAGCAGGACGCCTTGGTGGTTAAGTGCCAAGCGCTGTTATCTTGGTATGCGAGAGCTGGGTTCTTCAGCAACTTCCAGTGCAGTAACCTGGGGCAAAGTCCTCAACTTTTCTTCATCCCATCTACAAAATGGGATCAACAGCCTCAACAGGGTGCAAAGAGAATAACATGGAATGTAAGACAGGCAAAGCTCTTAAACTCGAGTTTGGCAGCCAGCGAAGCCTCAAAAAATGTTCAGCTAAATTTAAGCGTCCTTGGAGGATAGTTTCACGATACAATATCCAAGGATAAGTAGGCAGATGAGAGAAATAGCAAGAACAAGAGAAAAGAAATAGACGTTAAAAAACAAATCTCTGCTTACCTCTTACCTTCACCTCCCTTCCCAAAAAGAGTCCAAACATCTTCTGCCGCCCATGCCTGCCTTCATTTTTCTCCTTCTGTCTCCTCTCTCTCTCCTGTCTGCCCCATCAGATCAACCAGAGCTAGATCTTTTCATCCTAGGACTCTCACAGCCCCTCTAATTTTGCATTTTCCTTTTTAAGTTCTAGTTATTGAATGAATGTATAAATCTGTATTAAATTTTTGCATTCTGGTGCATGGGTTTTAAAATAATTTGTGGGTGAAAAGCTACCGTCTTGCACCTTGGCGTTAGACTTGATCCTGCCCCCTCCTTCGTCCTGGGAAGGATAGATGTATGACCTTGTGTCTGAAGTTGGCAGGTGCAAAACCTTTAAGTGTCATTTTCTCCCGCTTAGGGATTTGACTTCCCTCTCTGCTGAGGTGGCAGCTGGAGAGCAAAGCCTCCTTCGGGCCTCCATATTAACGACCCCAGCAGCGCGACTGCAAGCCCCTTCCAGATGAGCGTGACTGAACAACCCCATCACAACCCTTCAATCTCTACTCGCAGACACGCCGGCGGAGCGGCACCAATCAGTCGCACTCTCTGCCACAGGGTAAGTAAAAGGAGAGAGAAAAGGGGTGGAGTCATTTAGAAACCATCCAATTAAAAAAGACTCTGGGGCATTATGCTAAGTGAGATAAGTCAGACAATGCATGATGTCGTTTATATGTGGAATCTAAAACAAGGGAATTTGTAAAAACAGAGTAGAATGGTGGTTACCAGGGGCCTGGGGAGGGGAGAACTGGGAAGATGGCATTTAAGGGCACAAATGTGCAACCAGTAGATAAACAAGTCCTGGTTGATCTATGCACAGCCTAGTGATTATAGGCAACAATACTGTATTATAAACTTCAAAGTTGCTAAGAGACTAGATACTAATTGCTCCCACCACACACACAAAAAAAGATAATTATGTGACATGATAGAGGGATTAGCTAGAGTTATGGTGATAATCATTTTGCCATATATAAATGTATTAAACCAACACATTGTATATCTCAAACCTACACAATACTATATGTTGATAAAAATATATCTCAATAAAAACAAAAAAATTAAAAACCACTCCATTATGTGTTTAGTGTTCGGGATCTGAAACGGGTGAGTCATCAAGCATGGCCAGATTAGATGGGAGTTAGTTTTGTCACTTTGCCCCCTACTCTATAAGTGACCATGTTTAGGAAACTTGACATCCCTTTCTACACTTGAGAGACATTTGCATTCAGCTGCCCTTGGAGAGGAGGGCTATTAAATCATGTAGAATATGCCACAGGTATTCCCAAATAGTATTTATTCATTAGCTGGAAGGAACTGATTCTCCTTGCTCACAGAAGGCCCTGCCAACATTCCCATCAATTCTTCCTTTTTAAAGCAAACCGGAGCAGTGCTTTTCAACACTGGCTGCTCATTAGAATATCCTGTGAGAGCTTTTTTACCAAACAACAATGCTCAGGTCACCTTCCACAGGTTTGGTTCCATCAGCCTGGGGTGGGGCCCTGACTTGGGTATTTTTTTAAAACTTCCCCAGGTGATTGATCCTACTATGCAGCCAGCGTCAATAATCACTGGACTAGACATAGCTCCACAAGATGGAGAGGAATCCAGAAACAGGGCCCCAGAAGTAGCCGGAGAAAAGGGGGTGTGTTTAGCCTTTGGAAAGACAGAACTAAGGAAGACGTGATACAAGGCTGACCCTCCTCTTTTCAAATACAGGGAACTGAAGTTTTTATCCAGGCGAACATTCGTGCATTATTCTGGACACCCAATGCGAGCAGCTCTAGGCACACAGAACTTTCCTCTGAGGTTGTGCACGCGTGGAACACTGACGGAGAGCCCTGTACCCACGCCGCCCCGGCCGGCCCAGGGCCGGGCCCGAACCCACCTGGGGCCAGGCAGCCCCGCATTAGACTCTGTGCTGCCGTGGGCTGGGCCCGCAGGCTCTCAGCTTCCTCACCTCCACTCTGGCGGGCATGGTACCGGCCACTGCAGGGCTGCCGTGGGATTCAGGGGGGTGATATGTAGGCCATGCTTAGCCCCGAGCCGGCACACCGCGAGGGCCTGGCACAGGGGCGTCCTAGACGCGTGGGAGCCGCAGCAGGCGCCCAGTGTAATTCACCACTGCGTTCACTTGAAAGCCTCTCCTCCCCGAAAGCCGCCTGAAGTGCGCCCCTATTCATGCCTTTTTGTCCTTGCCACGCACTGCAAGTCTCCCAGGCAGCAGTAAGTTGATGCAGCCTGGAGGTGAGGACAGACTCAGGTCACCCCACTAGCTAGCAGGAGCCATGTCGAACTGGCTGGCGTTTCTCAGTCTCCTAGGCAGCCCATGGTTACGGCAGAAGCAGAAAGGGTGGGATGCTCTGA